TTTTTCCCTAAAAGTTTTATAGCTTCATAATTTGTGTTTGAGTTTGTGATCCACTGTGAGTTAATTTTTGGTATTGGGTATGAGACATAGGTCAAGATTCATTTTTTTTTACTTTTTTTTTTTTTTTAAACATGGTGAACGCAGATGCATACGCCCTGCTGGATGGCTGCTGAAAGATTCATTTTTTGAAACTGTGAATGTCTAATTGTTCCAGCACCATTTGTTAAATAGGTTTTTCCTTACTCAACTTTCCTTACTTGAATTGCTTTTACACTTTTTAAAATTTAGTTTAGATATCTGTGTCTGTATCTTTTCCTGGATTTTGTATTCTGGTCCATTGCTCTATGTGTATTTCTACCAACACAATACCGTCTCTATTATTGTAGCTCTACAGTAAGCCTTAACATTGTATAGCATGGTTCTCCCAATTTACTCCTCATTTTCAGAATTGTTTTAACTATTTCATGTCCTTTGAATTTCTATCAATTTTAGAATAAGCTTTTCCATGTCTGCAAACACCTGGATAGGAATTTGTATTAAACCTAGAGTTCAGTATGGGGAGAACTGACATCTTTGCTTCATGACTTATTCATGAGTAAGCCTTTCCGTTTCTTTTTTCTTTTTATTTTTTCTTTTAAGATTTTATTTATTTATTTGGCAGACAGAGATCACAAGTAGGCAGAGAGGCAGGCAGAGAGAGAGAGCGAGGAGGAAGCAGGCTCCCCGCTAAGCAGAGAGCCCGATGCGGTGCTCGATCCCAGGAGCCCGGGATCATGACCTGAGCCGAAGGCAGAGGCTTTAACCCACTGAGCCACCCAGGCGCCCCTAGCCTTTCTGTTTCTTTAGTTTTCTTTGATTTCTTTCATCAGCTTTTTGTCATTTTCAGAATACAGATTCTGTACATGTTTTCTTAGATTTGTATCTAAGTATTTCACTTTCTTTAGGGGGCAATTATAAATGGTATTGTGATTTAAATTTTGATTTCCACATATTCATTTTTAGTATGTAGAAATGCAATTAAGTTTTCTTTGTATTAAACCTGTATCTTGGGACATTAGTGAAACTCACTTATAGGTTCTCAGAGTGGTTTTGTAAATCCCTCGGGGTTTTATCTAGATACAATCATCTGCAAATAGAGACAATTTTATTTCTTTCTTTAAAATGTGTATGCCTTCCCTCACCTCCCTCCCATTTTCTTCCCTTGTTGCACTGGCTAGAACTTCTAGTACTGTGTTGAATCAGAGAGGTAAGAGTGGGCATTCTTGCCTTTTTCCTGATCTCATGGGGAAAACTTTCTGCCTTTCATCATTAGGTATGACGTACAGGAGTCATTTTATTTTATTTTATTTTATTTTAAAGATTTTGTTTATTTATTTGACAGAGCGAGAGAGAGAGATATCACAAGTAGGCAGAGAGAGAGGCAGAGAGAGAGGAAGGGAAGCAGGATCCCCGCCTAGCAGAGAGCCCGATGTGGGGCTCGATCCCAGGACCCTGGGATCATGACCTGAGCCGAAGGCAGATGCTTTAACCCACTGAGCCACCCAGGTGCCCCCAGGAGTCATTTTAAAATAACATCTTTTCATGATTACAAAAGTGCTACATGATCACTTACAGAATGTAGAGAAAAGGAGCACCTGGGTGGCTCAGTGGGTTAAAACCTCTGCCTTCGGTTCAGGTCATGGTCTCAGGGTCCTGGGATCGAGCCCTACATTCGGCTCTCTGCTCAGCAAGGAGCCTACTTCCCCCCTCTCTCTCTGCCTGCCTCTCTGCCTACTTGTGATCTCTGTCTGTGAAATAAATAAATAAAATCTTAAAAAAAAAAGAGAATGTAGAGGAAAATAGAAAGAACAACAAAAAAATTATCTGAAATCCCATGATTCATAGTTGATATTTGAGATCATACTAGTATAAACTGTATCTATTAGGGTTCTCCAGAGAAATAAAACCAATAGGGTGTGTGTGTGTGTTTGTGTTGGTGTGTGTCATGTAGAAAGAGAGAGGGGGAGATTTATTAATGAATTGATTCACGTGATTATGAAGGCTGATAAGTCCAAAATCTACAGGGTGAGTCAGGAAGCTGGAGACCCAGGGGAAGCAATATTGCACTTGAAGTCCAAAGGCAGTCTGTTAGTAGAATTCTCTTGCTTGGGGTAGGTCAATCTTATTTTCTATTCAAACTATTTAGTTAAATGAGGCCCACCCACATTATAGAGGGCAATCTGCTTTACTCAAAATCCACCAATTGAAATATAAATCTCATCCAGAAATCTTGCCATTTGTGACAACATGGGTAGACTTAGAGGGTATTATGCTGAGTGAAATAAGTCAGATTGAGAAAGACAAATACCACGTGATTTCACTTATATGTGGAATCTACCAAATAAATGAATGAGCAAACAAAAAGCAGAATCAGACTTACAGGAAAAGATGCCAAACTGATGGTTGCCAAAGGGATAAGCCAAATGGATGAGGGGGAGTGGGAGATATAGCCTTCCAATTATGAAATGAACAAGTCATGGGAATAAGAAGTATAATACAGGGAATATAGTCAATGATATTGTAAGAACATCGTATGGTGACAGATGGTAGCTACACTTGTAGCGAGCTTAGCATAACAAATAGAGATGTTAAATCACTATGTTGTACACCTGAAACTAATATACCATTATGGGTCAACTATACTCAAATGAAAAAATTTTTAAAAATTTGATTTGCCACAAATAAATAAATAACAATTTATACTTAAAAAATTTGTAAATCTCATTCACAAATGCTCTCATGGAAATCCAGAATAATGTTTGACTAAATAGCAAGGCACCATGGCCCAGTCAAGTTGACAAATAAAATTAACTATCACAGTGTATTATATTTTGATTTTGTCACCAAAGATTTTATTTTGAGAAGTTCCCTGTGTCATTAAATCCCTTGATTTTTTTTTATGATTGCATAGAATTCTGTTGTATGAAGATACCATAATTTATTAGCATGGTCTCCAATTGTGCTTTTAAGATGTTTCCACATTTCTGCTATTTTATTTTATTAAAATATTTTATTTATTTATTTATTTGGAAAAGAGTGTGTGTACGTGGGGAGGAGGGGCAGAGAGAGAGGGAGAGGGACAAGCAGATTCCAGACTCTGTGCTGAGCATAGAGCAGATGGGGGCCTTGATCCCACAATCCCAAGATCATGACCTGAGTCGAAACCAAGAGTGGAACACCTAACTGAGCCACCCAGGCACCCAACATTTTTGCTATTTTTAATAATGTTATGATGAACAAATTTCCTCTGCATATCTCTGATTATATACTTACAATTCTAAGAAGAGAAATTTCTGGGCCAAGGAACATGAATATTTAAAACAAATCTTCTTAATACATCTTGCTGTATTTCTTTCCAGAAAGACCACATTTATCCTAAGAGTGTATGGCATTTGATCCTCAGAACAGATCGTTCTGGAGCTTTGTTAAAGTTTTTATTTATAACAGTGTGAAAATTACCCATTGTTTATTTTTATTTTTTTAAGGATTTATTTCTTTGAGAGAGAGAAGGGGAGGAAAGAGGGGAGGGACAGAGGGAGAGGGAGAGAAAGAATCTTAAGCAGACTCCCTGCTGAGTGCTGAGCTGCACCTGGGTGGGGGACAAGTGGGGCGCAGGGGTGGTTAATCTCACAACCCTGAGATCATGAGCTGAGCTGAAATCAAGAGTGTGATGCCCATCCAACTAAGCCACCCGGGCACCCCTGTTCATTGTTTATTGACTCAAACTTAAATCTTTCCAATTTCTTTTTCTAAATGTCATAAGTATTTTGTCACAGTTTCCTTTAAATGTTTGGTGATCCACTCTGTTATAGTACATGGCAAAATTTTGCCCCTCTTAGAAGTGAGACTCACAGGATTCTTAAATTCTCTCAATTCTTTTCTGGGGCACTTCTTATGGGGAGGCTTGTAGACTCGGACTAAAAAAAAGTGCTGAGACATTACCCTTAGATTCTATGAAATTGTAGTTAGTAACTGGGAGGAAGTATTTTCTGAAGTATAACACATTGATGAGCTAAACTGGTAGTTCCCCCCCCCCCCCAGAGTGGTAAATTTTAACAAATAGTGTGTTCAATCTGTTTTAGAATAATAGCTGCCCAGGGATCAAGGAGACCTTGAGAGGTCATATAAGGCATAACACTGCTGGAGGCAAAGCTGCATAGATTCCATCTCTGACAGATGAGAATCAATACTGTGCTTCAAGGTCTCTTGTGGAAGAGATGATATCTTGTCTTAAAAAACCTATTCCAACATCTGACGACTTTGACTGTTGTCAAGCCTACCATTAGCCCAAATCCTGCAGAACTTGATGATGCTTACTGCCAAAGTAACTAGATATTATATAACCAATAGACAGACCTCTGAAAACACAACCCCCCCAGATATTTTTTACATCAACAGTACTTTCATAATAGAAACGGTATAGCTTTTTAGAATAAGAAGTGATGATGAGGTATGCTCAAGTAATACATACTTTCAGACACTTAGTTAAACACCAAGCAACAGAGTGGCAAACTTCACAGTGTAACTTGGTAACAGTCACGGAAATGGATGACTGGGCTTTAACATATTACCTGTAAAAGAACATTCTGACAATCAGGACATTAAATTAACAGCTCACAGTTTCAAGTATTCAAGCACTGCTTTTTGGCAGGTAAAAACTGTGTAAAAACCACTGATGTATTTTTGACTGTATATAAATATATAAAGATGCCCCAGCTTAGTTTTTGTGTACATAGCATTTCTTTTCTGGAATGAGAGTGGCTTAGGCAAACTTGAAAATAGTGTGGGAAAAATTCTTCCCTTTAACTAGCAAGAAAAAAAAATGAACAAAAAAAAAAAATTACTGTAACAATAGGGACTATGGAGGATGAACTAAGTAAAAGGAATGCATTGAAATAACTAACGGGAGTTAAATAAATGAAAGAGACAATGAAATAAAGAGAAAATCATTTTCCCTCCAGGATTACAGTCTCCTGAAGCAGGGAATGTGAAAGAGGACATTGAAAAGCCACTTCATTTATACACAGCCGAAGGATTATTTTCACCGATTACCTGAGCGTCCGTGATGTCTGACTGCTTTATGAGAACATGAGTGCTACAAGCTTCCTACCCTCTAAGAGAAGGTAATTCCTTTCACGTTGAGCATGATAAGAAAATACACAGGCAAGCTCTTTAGAAAACTACAGCTGTCTCAAGCCACTTGACGCTTTTGACACCATGGGCTTGGCAAGGTAGAGCATTGGAGCAGGGTCAAAAGGGCAGCTCCCTTTGGTCCTCTGCACCTGGCAGCATCTGTTCAGGGCAGGTGTCCAGGGCAGGGCAGGCTCATGGTGACTGGGGTGGGGCAGATTGGCCTCCTCTTGTGTGAGGGCTCCGGAAACAGGCCTAGACGAGCAGTTCTCCAGCCCCCCAAAATCTGGCAACTACTGCTGTTGCCTTGCTGCTCCAGGTTTCTTATAAGAACCTGAGTCCAGGCAAATCGGGGAGCCATCTTTTCTCATACATTTAAGGAAATGGGCTTAACTAGGAGAAAAATGGAGGTGGATTTATTTTATATACTGTAGACCAAATTATTTTTCTTTTGGGGGTAACTTCATATCTTGTTGCTTTGGGAGAATATTTGGCCCAGATTTGAAGAGTTCCTTTTCCTTCCTGTCTTGGGGGTCCCAAAGACCAGACCTAGGTTCAGTGACATATAGGACTCACAGGGCTCAGTATGTAGTTATACTGATAGCTAACGTTTATTACATTGAAAGGACACAAAGAAAAGTCAGCAAAGTGAAAACTGTCTCAAGCTTCCAAGAGTCCTTTCCCAGTGGAGTCACATAGAACATGTTTAATTCTTCCAGTGATGGGAAGTGTTATTTACCAGGGAAACTTACTGGGGACTCAGAGCTCAAGGCTTTTACTGGAAGCTGGTCATGCAGACAAATACTGCCTAGCCTGTACAAAAAATTCCAGACTTCCAGAAAAAAATGCAGTTGTTCAGAATAAACCATTGGTTGTATAAGCAGTTTAAGCCATTCATCAATTAGGGTAAGTTTTATATTACTGTAGGAACTGCTTACCAGTCAAGATCCCATATGCCAGCCAAGGATCAAGCAAGGCTTTTCTAAGGATGTGTAGTCTCAGGCTACTTTGTTAACTCCTTCCTACAAAGTCCACCCCATTTGGCCGATGCTTTTTTAGAGCAAAATTATTGTCAACAGGATCCCCTGTGGCATGGAGAAAGTATCTTGCTAGTATGCCCTCCAGGGTCCTGGATTTAGCCAATTAAAACAAATCCCATTGACAATAAAGGTCAATCTTAGAAAACCTGGTGGTTTTCTCCTAAAGTTTTTGCCTTCACCTTTTTACCTGGCTTGAACCATCCATTCAAACACAGTAGGACTCTGCCTGGTAAGTTGAAGCTGAGCTGCATGCCTTCCAGGACTGAGGCAATCCATGAATGTTAAGAAGGTACATATTCAAGAAGAGTAATCCCAGAGAGTACCCTTGGAAACAAAAAATTTGTAACTGGCAGGTCACCCAATGAAGACATACATTAGTAGGCATTAGAGGTAAAGAGGGCCCCTAGTTTAGCTTCCCGCTGTGAGTCCTTCTGCCCTAGGGTTCTCTGTCCAGTTGAAATAATGCAGTTGAGTCCTTAGTTTTAAAAGGACTTCCAGAAGGCAGTTTCACCAATTTTGCTTGTCTTTGACATCAGTTCATTTGCCTCATGAATGTGGACAACATCTAGAGCTGTTCTTCATGGGAACATAGGACCTGGGCCCACCGTTGCTGTCCCACAGTCATTGCTGTCAGGTGTGATCACAGGCTCAGTAGCGGTTCGAATTCAAGACCTCACAGCATCCTGGGAAGGCAACAGTGGCATTCAGGAGCAGTTCTGAAAAACAGAGAAGTTATAAAAATGAGATCATTAACATCCTCTTTCTCTTTATCTCCCAGATGCTGGGCTTTCACCCCCACCCCATGTTATTACAAAAACAGTGTGTCTCATTTAATAGTCATTACTTTACATTTTTCCCCCCAGTTATTTTTATTCTCATCTATAATCCAAAAGGTTTGGGTAAAAAGAGGGTGTCAAGAATTTAGTTAAGTTACTGCATGGTATTGCTGCATTGACCTCATTTTGTTTGGCCAAGCAGTGTCCTGAAACTGACACTAGTCCCCTCACCTAAGCACATGCTCTAGATAGCAGTCCACAGAGTCACAAGCACATTTAAGTTCCTGCTGGCACTTCCCCAACATCCCTCATGATCAACCATTTGCCCTGCCCCCACTGCCTTCTCTCCACATGGCTCCTTAGATAAGACTTCAGTGTGGCATTGCAAACGCTGCCCTTTTGGTTTCAGTTGACCAACCTAACCTTAGCCCCAGGAACTCCAAAGCACTCCACCTGCAGACTCTAATAAAAACGTGCCCCAATGTCTACCTCTCTCTGTCTGCACTCTGCTTTGACCTCCGCACGTGGCCCCTCAAGGTGTGCCAGGCACTTCCTCCAGGACTTGTAAGTAATAAACTTCCCTATTTTAATTCCTCTTATGTCTGTTGTTGAGCCACAGTTCACTCTCTGACATCCTGTGGCCCACTTAATAAGTGATGATTTAAGGAATTTGTAACAGAGGGATAGAAGAATGTACATAGAAAAACATTGTTAATATAACTTAACCAGAAAGACAGCATGGTCAGGAACTGGTTAGGACAAAACCTTGAATTTTCAGAAGTTTTCAGAACATGTTTACATAGCCCCCACCCTTTTCATCCTGATCATTTATTCAGTAGGCAGCCTGAAAAAGAATAATCCCTTTTTGGGAATAGCTGTTTTTAATAATCAAACTGCTTAACTTAGGAGGAAGGTGAGTAAAGTTGAATCGGGCCATCAGTCTCTTGTTACAAATTTCAAATATTCTTGAAAGTCAGACATAAGTCAATAGCAGTGAGACATTCCTGAGCAGGGGTTGAGAGTCCTTTCTGTCAGGAGTGGGCAGAGAGGTCCTACTTCCATGCTGTGTTCTCTTCCAACTTGCAGCTTTCATCAGGAATCACAGCTTAGGTTCCTTTTGGTCATTCATCTCAAATGCAATTAGTCCCTACATTAGAAATATACAGTCACCAGCAGCTTGGTTTCAGATGGTCCCATCAGGGAATGTGCCCTTTCTTATGGGCATCTGCAGGTGACCCACATAGTCCAGAGAGCACCCATGATGTTTTTATAGCCCACGGCTCCATGGAGGGGTGTCTTAAGTCTGCAGTAGTCCCAGCATCTCAGTTCTGTTCATTAAGCCTATGTCTGTTTTCCAAGATTGAACTAATCTGTTACAGATGTTATTAGGTTTCAGGCAATTAGGATCTCTAGATTCAGGATTCCAGAAGCTAGTGACTTTTCTTCCTTGGCAGCAGCAAAGATGAGAGACTACAAGGGCCGACAGTGGAATTCCAAGTTCTTCTAAGCCCCTTTTATCTTGTCATTCTTAGAGTCCAAATTGACCTACTCAAAAATATGCACAATTAGTCTAGACAATCATCAGTCTCTAAGAGTCAGACATCTGACTTTACAGAAACTTATTATCAAACTAAAAACTGCTTTTTAAAACTCTAAAAGTGCATTTTCCTGTGCAGATTACTTCTCCTTTTATGTTGTCTGCCTTTTCTCATAGGCCCCAATAGGTAAAAATCACAGGAACAATAATCACTTATGAAGATTTCAATACTCAGATTTTCAAGGATTTTAAATTTTTAATGCATCCAAGCAAGAAATCCTGTTCTACTCACACCTATTATTGGGCAGCTTTCCATGTTGGAATAATCCCGTTAGCATTTATGAGATTACAAGAATATAATTTATACTGTTTTTTAAAATCACATATCCAGAAGCAATAGGCATAAAGTAAAAAGCCATTTTAGAAAGTCTCTCTCTCTCTCTCTCTCTCTCTCTCTTTTTTTTTTTGCAAGTTTACTCAAACCTTAGCAGTAAATTCAACACTTTCAGGATTAATGTTACAACTACTGAGAGATCCCAGCTGGAATGCAACAGGCTGCTATACCAGTGGATAGAGTGTTATTTTTCTGCTCTTCTTTTTTTCTGATTTGTCTAAAGTTTGTGCCAGTCTTGGAATTGACTTAATCTTATTTCCTCTCACTTGGAGGAATGAGCAGTACAAACATACTACATTTTGGGAAATGTTTTTTGGCAGCGTTCGAACCCTTTCTCCTCCCACCTAAAGGGGAGAACAAAACCTAAAGACATCAGCCAGGCTATAATTTTTAATTCCTTTACCTTAGCTACCTTGGCCAAAAGTGGCCTATGGATCCAGTTCTCCTAGGGTTGGAGCTATCATTTTCAAGTTCCATAGGTAACCTTCACCTTCCAGAAAAGACATCTCAGCTGCTGTTTCATACCACATGACTAGATAACCATTGGTATGTGAAGGTTCATAATTGTATCCCCTTCATACTTTCTTTCTCTGACCACTGTTTTAGCCATATTTCAATGAGTCAGGGTTGTTTTTAATAAGTCACACTTCTGACACCAACTGTCACCCCCAGTTTAAGGATTTGCTAGAAGAATCCACAGCATATAGTTATACTTATGGATAAGATTTATTACACTGAAAGGATACAGAGCAGAATCCAAAAGGGGGAAGGGATATTGTCTTAAGTCTGAAGAAAGCCAAGGAGAAGCTTCCAAAGGTTCCTTTTGTTGTTTCTTTTTGTTTTGTTTTGTTTGTCCCACTGAAGTCTTACAGGTTGTGCTTAATTCCTCCAGTAATGAGTTTTGGCAACACATGTGAAATGTTGTCTCCATGCTCATTAGAGACTTCATGCCCTCAGTTTTTACTGGGTGCTGTTTATGTGGTACCCTGCTATGTACTGAATGTTGTGATTCTGCAAAATTCATATGTTGAAGCCTAATCCCCAATATGATGGTTTGAAGGTGGAGCCTTTGGGTGATAAGTAGATGAGAAGGTGGAGCCTTCATGAATGGGATTAGTGCCTGTGATGGTTAATTTTACATGTCAATTTTATGGGGAGCCCAGATTAAACACTATTTCTGGGTGTGTCTTTGGAGGCACTTCCTGATGAAATTAGCACTTGAAATGATCGACTCAATAAAGTAGATTGTCCTCCCCAGTGTGGTGGGCCTCATCCAATCAGTCAAGGGTCTGAATTGAACAAAAGACAGAAGGAGGAATTTGCCCTGCCTCACTGCTTATGCTGGGATATCTCATCTCAACTTCTTCTGCCCTTGGACCGGGATTTACACCATTAGCTTCCCTAGTTATCAGGCCTTTGGACTTGGACTGAATTACACCACTGGTTTTTTTGGATCTCTAGTTTGCAGATGGCATATCGTGAAGTTTATCAGTCTCTATAATTACATGAGCCAATTCCATATTTATATATGCGCATTTTCTCATATTTAAATAGCTTCTGTCTGTAAGACCTTAAAAGAAGGATTCAGAACTCCAAGAGATAAATGTCACTCAAAAAAGTTTTAAAATAAGTTGTATTTTCTTCAAAATACTTCTAAGCAACAATTAGGTATGACCTGTTCTGGTTTTTTCCATCCCCTGATCATAGATTTATTTTTGTTTCTGAAATTGGAAGAAAAGACATTTCTGCCTTAAGAGGAATAGAAAAGAAGAGGTTTATCTATTGTTAAGTTTTGTGGACATACCTGGTCCTGCTTCCCCAAGAGGAGTTACCTTTCTTTCTTTAATAACAGACCTCCAACAGTGGTGACATATGATTATAGTTATAACTTTTCCTTTCTCATGTGGGTCATTGAGAAGCAGACTTTCTGCATTCTGTAATAAAAATATTACAAAGTAACAAGCCCTCATGTCTCCCTATTTAGACAAGAAATAAAAATGTTGCAAGCTATTTTATGCTTTGGTTACTTTCCTTAGTAACTTAGAAATTGTAGTATGATGCTCTACAAGCACTGGTCATAATTATTAAGCCCACCTTTTTGTAGCTCAAAGAAGAATTTTCATATAGAAAATGGTCAGGAATACCTCCGTCTAAGAATGCAAGCTTTATCAAAGGTTTCTTGGAATACTGCTGGAATGGTGGGAAGAGTCTGACTTCGTTATTCTACTCCTTGCTTCAGATTTGGCTGTGCTGCTTCATAGTAATTTCACATCAGGCAAGTGGCCATCTATTGGAATCTCAATGTCCTTATCTATAAATTGTGATACAAATCTCCACAGATTTGTTATAATGTCACAGTGTTGTTATAATGAAAATAGCATAGGTAAAATATTTGACTTCATACCCGGCAGAAAGGAAGGGCTTAATAAATTTATTAGTCCTGTTATCTCAAAAAAATGCTCACTAGAAAATAAGGACTGTAATGGTAATAGAAGCTTTATTTATAATACCCCACCTGGAAACAACCCAAATGACAGCCCCAAATGACCATCAGTAGTAGACTGAATTTTTTAAAATGTGGGATAGTCAGTCATACAGTGTAGTACCATAAAGTACGAACTACCATTTGCACAAAAATAGGGATAAATCTCACTGATGAAATGTTGAATGACACAAAATATTGCATTCTGTATAATTCCATTGAAAGAAAGTTCGAAAACAGGCAACATTAATCTATAGTGACAGTGGCCAGAAGTCATAACCTTTTGGAGAGAGAGGATGGATTGGAAGAAGAATAAAGGGAACCAGCAGGGGTGCCGAAAATGTTTTAGTCTTCACCTGCATGGTGGTGGTTATGTACTGGTACATGTATGTAAAAATTCATCAGACTATACGCTTAAGGTTTGTACATTACAGATGTACTGTTTATTACAGATATAAATAATACATCAACAAAAGAAACTGTTCCCTTAAACCCAGGAGCTGGATTTTTGTTTCAAAATCAATGTCATTTATTAGGGGAGTATCTGGCAATAGATACAACATACCAATAGCTGGCCATCTTGCAGGCTGTAGTCAGTCTGTCCCTTGTTAGTGGCCCCATTTCAGAGCTATCCTGGAGCAGACAGGCACATTATAAGGGTCATGCTCCATCATCATGGACAGCTGAAGATGCGACCACATGCCATCGGCAGCAAAGCACAGGGAAAACCAGGCAGTGGAGTGTGCTTCCCACCCTCAGGCTTGGAGGCGCAAGCCCCAGCCATGGAAGGATTAAAAAGCCTCAATTTAAAAAGACAGGGGGAGGGGAGGGAATGTGGGCTGCACAATTTATAAATAGACATTCCCGAGGCTGCCTGATGGTGAAGTGGTTGTTTAGTAAATCTTTTTCCCTTAAGGATCCCATTAGCGGAGAGCATTTGAAAATAACAGTTTCATTTTGGCTTTTGGGGGAGATCCTGGGTTTCATCAAGTCAGCTCTGTCAGAGGATATTGCTCTTTCTCAAATTTAGGGACAGGCCTTCGACAACTTAAATCACCTACACATGGAGCACAAAGATGATGACGACGATGATGTGTCTTTTGCCAAATGGATGAGCAGCTTCTGGGGTCACAGCTGGATAGAAGAGAACGAGAGAGGACTCCGGGACCATCATGGACCACAAGATGCTACTCACAGGAAAACCTCCCTGCCCTGCCCAGTGAGTTATGATCAGAGAACCAGGGGAGAGCCGGACTAGGGGAGGGGGATTTCTATTAGATAATTTTTGAAGAGGCCTTTGGTGTAAAATATTTGGTTCAAAATCAATACTTCTAAACCTTTTGATACCCACAAGAGTCCTTTTTATTGTTTTAGCTTGTCCTCCCGGGGACCTGATTTTCATTTTGTAGGCAAAGATTTCTTCATTTTTAGTAGCTTAAGATCTCTTTAACTACTATTCAGAGTTCCTGATAAACCTGAGACAATCCTCCTGAGGGTTAATAAGATTTGAGTCAAAGGAAAGACACTTGATGTTATAAATTAGTCTGTTTAGCATCAGGTGTGGATCAATGTGTGATTTCCAATACTCTCTTTGGAATACTGAAAATAGCTCCGTGATTTGATGACCTCAAATCAGCCCCTCCCGTGGGGATTCCACATCATAAATCATTACCTTTGATAATTTTTTTAAATTTTTATTTATTTGAAAGACAGAGATCACAAGTAGGCAGAGAGGCAGGCAGAGAGAGAGAGGTAGGGAAGCAGGCTCCCTGCTGAGCTGAGAACCCGATTCGGGGCTCGATCCCAGGACCCTGTGATCATGACCTGAGCCAAAGGCAGAGGCTTTAACACACTGAGCCACTCAGGTGCCCCTTTGATAAATTTGATACACTTTTTCTTCTGGTTTCCCCTTTGGTTTCCTGAGGGGAGAGGAAACCAACATTTTTCTGTCCTCAGTACTACTTTTCCTCAGGGAGGCAGAGTACCCAGTGTCTAGGGAGCAAGACGCAAGCAGGAGGAAGATTCTAATGGCTGAACGGGAGGGGCTGGCCAGGTGAGGACTCAGCGGCAGGGCCACCTGGTTCTCTCTGCTTCACAGTCATTTACTATAATAGAATAGTAAATAAAAAAGCAAGAATATAGGGATGCCTGGGTGGCTCAGTCAGTTAAACATCTGGCTTCAGCTCAGGTCATGGTCTCAGGACCTGATTGAGTCCCGCATTGGGCTCCTTGCTTTGTGGGGAGCCTGCTTCTCCCTCTGCTTCTCCCCCTGCTTGCGTTCCCTCTCTCTCTCTCTCTATCTGACAAATAAATAAATAAATAAAACCTTTAAAAAAAGAAAAGTGAGCTTTTCTTTTCCACAAGTCCCTTAGGATTCTAGCTGTAGAGAATGTCTCCCCAACCTTCTGCTTCTGTCAACCCCAGAACCAGTATGTTTTGGGACAGTGTTATTTTATTTCAGTTTTAGCCTCAGAGTTCCTAGAAGCATAATGCTTGTGAGGGATATTATGGTGGGTATGGAAATCTCTTTTAGTTTCAGTGATCAGCAAATTTGAGGAATGAGACCTCTTTAAGACACAAATATTTGAAGATAAATTTCTTTTTTTTTAGATTTTATTTATTTAAAAAAATTTTTTTAAAAAATCTCTTTTCAGTGTTCCAGAATTCATTGTTTATGTACCATACACAGTGCTCCATGCAGTACGTGCCTTCTATAGATTTTATTTATTTATTTGACAAAGAGAGAGACAGTGAGAGAGGGAACACAAGCAGGGGAAGCAGAAGAAGGAGAAGCAGGCTTCCTACTAAGCAGGGAGCTCGATGTGGGGCTTGATCCTAGGACCCTGAGATCATGACTTGAGCCAAAGGCAGATGCTTAGTGACTGAGCCACACAGGCACCCCTTGAAAATAGATTTCTTACCAAATGCATACTGAGGGACAAAGGGCAAGTTTCAACAGGTCTTTGAGCTTCAGGTTCCTTATGTAAAAAAGAAGAGGGGGTACTGGATGATGTCCGGGAGCTCTTCTAACTCTTAACTATCCATGATTCTGTTGTAAATAAACAGCTGTTTATCACGCTCTCATTTTAATCTCTTATGTTCCACTTCAAATGAGGTATTCACAGTGTGTGAACCAGGAGTACAGTTAGTTTCCAGTTTCCAGATAGTGAGAACCAGGGAGAAACAAAGAGAAAAATTGTGATTTGCTATTTATCTCTATAGTCCTTTGGAACTGTTGAAGATATGAAAACAAAACATGAAACAAAAACAAATGACTAATAAAATACAGTTTTGTTGAATACATCTTAGCATCTATTATACCTGTAAAACTGGGATAATCCACCCTTTTTAGGGAATCCAGTTTTAGGTTGCAGTGTTGTTTGCCTTAAACTATTGGGACCAGCAGAATTTGTTATGTAATGCATTTCTAAACAGTGTCTATATATCTCTTCCTGCTCATACTAGCTTCGGGCATTTGCCTGAATTAACCTGTTTAGATTCTCTAAGTCAACAGTGAATTCCACAGTTATCAGACCACCTGCAGAAAGCATGTGTTTATTTGAGGAGATGAAGCATGGAATAAAAATGAGCAACTGACTGAACAGAGTAGAGACCGTGTGAGTGCAGAACACAGAGCAGGAGACCCAGGGCAATGTGGGCAGAGTCCTCGGAGATAGTCAGGGTCTGAATGTCCAGCTCCAGTCACAAAACGCCATATATTCATGACAAGAGCCTGTGTTGGGTACTTTTCGAAGTCTAGAATGTGCTCAGATTTTTCTTACTTTAGAGATCAGAGAACAATTAGGTTTTCATTGTGTGTGTTTTACTTTAAGCTCAATCAATGACTTAAAAAGAAAAGCTTACTTTCAGCCTTGTCTCTTTTCTTCTCTCCCCACTGCTTCCAACTGAGGCTCTTCCCTCTCACAACCTATTAAGAACCTATATCCATCCATATTACATGCATAGGAAGAGAAGAACTTTCCCTTCCTTTTCCATTTGAATGTGGTTTCTAATATGGCTTTTAGCCTCGTGATGATTCGTGCAAAGTGATGGAGCCTTGATTCATTGACTATATTTATTGACCACCTACTTTGTGACAGGCATCACTTACGCAAGGCATGTAGAGGGTACAAGAAGACATACATGATCTCTGTGCTTGTGGAACTTCCAGTCTAGTGGAAAATACAAATCTGGCAGAAAGAACAAGGCAGGCAAGGGGTAGAACTTGGTCCTTCTCAGAGAACACTACTTTTTGGCAAGACTCATTATAATAATCTGTGACCGCTGATTTAAAGTAAATTAAAAAAAATCTAACTTCATGACTATGTAGTTTCTTGTTTTTCAGATTAAGTTTTTATTTCATTTCAATAGAAGACAATGCCTTACTCCCTGATGTGAAACTGGTTATAGTAGGTTTTTTTTTTTTTAAGATTTTATTCATTCATTTGAGAGAGAATGAGAGAGAGAGAGAGAGAGAGAGCGAGCACAAGCAGGGGGAGCAGCAGAGGGAGAGAGAGAAGCAGACTCCCAGCTGAGCAGGGAGCCCACCCCACCCCCAATGTGGGGCTCCATCCCAGGATGCTGGGATCATGACCTGAGCCAAAGGCAGACACTTAATCAACTGAGCCACTCAGGCACCCCAAAACTAGTGATAGTTTCAGGCAACAGTGACAACTCTGTGGAAGGACTTTTAGCATAATATTCTATGGATTTGCTTTCTGTCTTCTACTAGTTGTAGAGGAATTGCTGGGAAGGCAGCCGAGTAGGGTGGCTAAGAAGTGTGAAGGGAGGGCTCCAGACGCAGCCTTCCAGGGTCTACCACTAGCAGCGTAACTGATTGAGTTACTTACCTCCCTCTGCCTCAGATTCCCCGTATGTTAAGGGGATTGATGGTAATAGCAGATACCGCATAAGGGTGTAGTGAAGATTCAATGAGTAATTTATCTAATGTCATTAGGACATTGCCTGGTACCTAATAAGCACCTATGCTTCTTATTGTCACGTGTTGGAAGTGTCGAAAGTTAGACATTTTTTTTCCAGATGACATTTCAGTTAATTACTACAAAAAGTCTTTCATTTTGGGTCTGATGATTTTAGATACCTCATATAAGTGCAATCATTCAGTATTTGTCCTTCTATGTCTGTCTCAATTTTTGAAAGCATCCCTTTTTTCCTGATAAAAAAATACCCCCATTTAGATAAAAAAAGTACTAAAAAAACACAATTTCACAGGACAAAGAAAACCTTTCAAAACATTTGGGTATGTTTTAAGATTGCCCATCTTTTGATACTACCCTACTTCAAGCCCCGCCCATCCTTCCCTCCCCGCAGATGCTCACGCTCAGAAGGCTTCATTTCCTTCCACTCCAGCAAGCTCTTCTGTGGCAGGGCCTCAGAACATATGGGGCTCGTCCTGAGGCAGAACAGTGTTCCCTGTTCCCGGATTAACTGTGCTCATCCTTCAGATTGTATCTTCATCATCACACCTTCACAAAAGTCTCCCCTTATCCTCCTAGTCACGCCAACATCCACCGGAACGTACATAATTTTACCTTGTTATAGTCTCTCTGTGTATCTTGAACTTTCCCTTTATAGCATTTGCCAAAGCGGTAGACATATGCCCTCTTTGTTTAATGTTTGTCTCCCAACATAATCTCCAAGAGGGGGATGCTGTGCCTGTTTGTCTCCCAATTTGTCCAAAGCACCAAGTACCATGTCTTACCTATAATAAATGGAATAATATATACAAATTTACCTACTATCTTTTAGTAGCTTTACAAATCTTTAACCATATTTTTTATTATTGTTTGAGGGAAAGTTTCTAGGTATGTGTGTTAGTTTGCTTGGGCTGCCGTAACAAAACACCACAGACTGGGTGACTTCAACAGCAGAAATTTATTTTCTCACACTTCTGGAGGTTAGAAGTCTGAGGTTTGTTTTCTCTGAGGCCTCTCTCCTTGGCTTACAGATGGTCACCTTCTTGCTGTCCTCACATGGTCTTCCTCTGTGGGAGCATATTCCTGGTTTCTCTCTGTGTATGCAAAGTTCTTTCACTTATAAGGGCACCAGTCACACCAGTGGGACCCACCATAATATCATTTTAACTTAATTGTTAGAGGCCCTATCTCCAAATACAGTCATAATCTGACATTCTCACATAAAACTTCAACATATGAATTTGGGGCAGGGGGACACAATTTAGTAAATAATAACATGAAAGGGATGGATCCAAGGAGGGGAATATTTTGAGTCCTCTGACACATATCACCAACAGCTTTCTAGGAGGGATGTGTGTATTTGTAGTCCTACCAGCAAGGAAGACAGTGTATATCTCCCTGCACTCTTGCCAGTGTCATTAAATAACATTTTTTTTGCTAAATTGAAAGATAAAATTGTATATTATTTCATTTTCCATAATTTTTGACTATTAGTTAAGCATAAACAATTTTTTTTTTAAGATTTTATTTATTTATTTGAGAGAGAGACAGTGAGAGAGAGCATGAGCGAGGAGAAAGTCAGAGGGAGAAGCAGACTCCCCATGGAGCTGGGAGCCCGATGTGGGACTCGATCCCGGGACTCCGGGATCATGACCTGAGCCGAAGGCAGTCGTCCAACCAACTGAGCCACCCAGGCGTCCCAAGCATAAACAATTTTTACCAGCTGGTATTTCTTTTTCTTTTATTCTATATACATTTGTTCATCATATATATATATATATATATATATATATATTTTAAATATTTTATTTATTTATTTGACAGAGAGAGATCACAAGCAGGCAGAGAGGCAGGCAGAGAGACAGGAGGAAGCAGGCTCCCTGCTGAGCAGAGAGCCCGATGCGGGGCTCGATCCCAGGACCCTGAGATCATGACCTGAGCCGAAGGCAGCAGCTTAACCCACTGAGCCACCCAGGCACCCCCATCATATATATTTTTAAATAATCTCTACACCTGACATGCGGCTCAGACTCACACCTCCAAGATCAAGAGTCACATGCTCTTCTGACTGAGTCAGCCAGGTGCCCCTCATCTAGTATATATTTAATGAACTCATGTTATGAATAGGGCAGAGTGCTTCTAGCACTCTAGAAGAGTGGGCTTCTAGCAGAGAATGAAACATAGCCCTTGATGTGATGGGGCATATAGTCTAATGGAGGAGAAATATGTAACAAAATTACCCAAAATATTGATCTTGGTTGTGCTAAATATCATAAAGGAGAAGTACAAGACCCCAGCAGGGCATTGAACCGGGACCAGAACCACCCAGGGTGGTAGGGAAGGGTTTCTGTGAAAGTACAGAATGACTAAAACATGATTCACCATTTCATGGGGTAAAGGGGTGGGGTGGTGAACGGTCATGAGCAGAGAGGACCCCCTGTGAAGGTGCCTGTTTTGGGGAGGAGCAAGTGAGCTGGAGGAAATGACTAACCAGTGAGGCCATCCCTGAAAGGGTGGGTGGGGCAAGAAGAGGTACAAAAGAAAACGTGATCAGATGTGACTTGGTTGGTGTTCTAACTACCCTGGCTGCTGTGGGAATGACAAAACAAATGGGTAAGAGTGGAGGTAGGGTATCCACTACGGGGAGGCTGCTTCTATCATATGGGTGAAAGATTACCTGGGTGGCTTGGATTACGGTAGTAACAGTGATGCTGGAAAAGAGTGGATAGTTTGTTTTTTTTTTTAATTTTTATTTATTTATTTATTTATTTGACAGAGATCACAAGTAGGCAGAGAGGCAGGCAGAGAGAGAGAGAGGGAGAGAGAGAGAGACGAGGAAGCAGGCTCCCTGCTGAGCAGAGAGCCTGATGCGGGACTCAATCCCAGGACCCTGAGATCATGACCAGAGCTGAAGGCAGAGGCTTTAACCCACTGAGCCACCCAGGCTCCCCAAGAGTGGATAGTTTTTGAGAGACGTTTGAGAGATGGAATCTACTGACTCGGCAAGAGATTGTGAAGAGTGACTCCTGAGTTACAGGTCTGAGTGAGTGAATGGTCTGTCATCTTCTAAGTTAGGGGACACATGGGGAGAAGTTTTGAGGAGGAGAGGTGTGAGTTCAGATTTGCACAAGTCAGACTGAGTGCCAGTGGGATACTGCGGGAGAACTTGAGGGGGTGGAAACTTAGAGGAGATGTCTGGGCTAACAATATAAATTAGGAAATCAGATGATAGCTAGAAATTAAAGCCTGAAGATGAGATATTTAGGGAGGCGGTGTCATGTGAGAAAGGAAAGGAAGGGAAGGAAGACTAGTTTAGAACCTGGAGGAACTCCAGCAGTTATGAGCTGTTAGCTGGAGAAGTGAGCAAAAATGTCTAAAACACAGTGGCAGAAAGATCACCCTTGAGGGTGCAGTGGTAGAAGACAAGGAAAGATTGTTTCTGGGAGGGCCATATGGGCTACTGGATTGAATGCTACGGAATGATTCAAAACCAAAAGTGGGCAGAATTTGGAAACATTATTAAGATCAATATCCTGACCAAAACCAGTCTTGCATGCAAAAGTTATATTGGAGTGGGTTGGGAAGTGAGAGAAATTGAGACAATGTTTCAAGATTGGCTTATCTGAGGGGTCTATCCTTTGATTATTTTCCAGGTGTGATTTTAACATTGATGTGATTGTATTATATGATCTCTGTGTCTGCCTGTATGCATGTGAGTTATACTTATTTATTTTCAGGAGATCTATTAAACATTACTAACATGTAGCAAATATTTTTTAAAGTTTTTAAATCTACCATTGATTTTGTTTATATTATTTATGATACACATTGGCTTTATTTTTATGTGGTTAAATTGATTTTTTTCCTTATGACTTTTCTCACTGCTCTTTTGCTTAAAAATTAGTTCTTCATATAGAAATCACATAAATACTCACCTTTGCATTATTTCTTTAACATTTATTTCTTCACTGTAGTTTTTTTTTTTTTTAATAATTTTGGGATTTATTTTACATATCAATTTAAGGCTTGGAATGCTTCATTATTCTACCTTAATGATAGAAGATGAACAAAGCTAGTCTTGGGATGTTCTGGTTAATGTTTTAACTCTACTTCATTGTAGGAGGAAGGTCCGACTGATCAAAAAGATAAAATTTCAGTTCAACATGAGATTTGCTTAGTTGGTTATTTATGGATATTTTGTCCCTGTGTTAATATTATACTGTCTCTTTATACTGCAAAATTTGCATTCTGTATTCCCAGTTTCCTGCGCTTCCCAGAATCACATTGTCTGACAGCCATCCCAGAAGACATTCTCATGAGGACCAGGGATTTCAATGCCATACCCACATGCTGGATTACAGAAAATGCTCAGCAGATGAATCATTCAAAGAGGCACTGGAATCAAAAGGAAGATCTCAGTCCAAAATTCAAGCATTTTCAGAGTCCTTTGAACAGAAACTGTGCTTTAGAACCAAACGCTCCGTCTCTTTGGTATGTAATGGAGTTATTGAATATTTAACCACTTTAGAAAAGGAAACCAGAAGGGTTCATCCTCCCCAAGTTTTAGGAGGATAGATGTAACTTCTTCGTTTATAGTCTAGTGATGAAGTCTTTGAAAAATGACTGTTTTAGATAGCTCAGATGTATATAAAATTGCTTCATTATTTTTATTGGAGATAGCTGGTGTAGGACGAATTACCAGAGGACCATAGGTGGAATGTTTTTGTTACTGAGGTCCTCTGGTTCTTTGAGACTATTTTTGTCAGTCTTATAAATAATTGTGACTTGTTCTTCTTTCACTATTTGAAGAAGGAAAAAACTATCCCAATTGTGCTGTCTTTTCATATCTAATCTAGGAGTAAATAGTGTATGATGGTGGTCTGTTCCCCTGTACTTTTTTTTTTTAAGATTTTATTTATTTATTTGAGAGAAAGAGAGATCAAGAGAGAGAGAGAGAAAGAGAGAGAGAGAGAACAAGCCAGGGGAAGGTCAGAGGGCGAGGGAGGAGAAGATTCCCTGCTGAGCCGGGAGCCTGATGTGGGACTTGATCCCAGGACCCAGAGATCATGACCTGAGCTGCAGGTAGATGCTTAACCGACTGAGCCCCCCAGGCATACTCCCCTGTACTTCTAAAAAATATGCAGAAGGAATTCTCTAAACATTAGTAAGTATCCAAAAGTAGGAGGTGTCCAGGCATTTCACAGGGGCCTATGGGAATTTAAGTGAAGCACAAAGCAGAGATAGGCATGAAATGGGGGAAGAGTAGAAACTCCATTGATAATGCTAAATTTGTTACATAAAGTAATAAACTATAGATCAATTAAGTTGGGGATAGTTTTTGAACTCCACAACATGTTCACTGAGCCATGTTGAGCAAAATAACTTCTTTTTCCTGTTTTTTTTTTTCCCCGTTTTGTTTTATTTTGGAATAATTACATGTCTCTGCCATGCAGTAGGTAGAACAAATAAGTGACCAGGAGTATTGCCACCTGGTTCTTGAGTTTTGCTCTGTGAACATACAGAGGAAGACATGTGGCTGCTTCCTACCTCATTGCCCATCTGAACACAATGCTTTCTGCTTAGCAGTGATGGCTGTTGGTACTGTCACCATGCATCCTTGGCTTCTAGGTGGCACCTCAGTTTCATCAGAGAGTGACACTGTGTATGGTTTCCCTTCAGGAGGCTGCTCTCTTCACCTGATCATAAGAGAAACTCAGGAAATTAATACCGATACAATAATTTTATCTCTAATTTATTGATTTTGTTCATATTTTGCCAGTTGCCTCAATAATATTCTCTATAGTGAAATTCCAGATTGTGTGTTGCAACCAATTTTCACATCCCTCTAACTGATCTTATTCAGGAACAGTCTTTCTTGTCTTAAATAAAGACAAGAATAAAATAATCTAACTGATTTTATTCTGGAACAGTCTTTTCTTGTCTTTCATGACACTGACATTTGAAGAATACAGGCCAGATATCTTTTAGAGTGATGCCTCATTTGGGTTTAGCTGACATTTCCTTGTGATTAGATTTAGATTATGAACTTCCAGTAGGAATTTAAGAGGAGTGCAAGAATTCCTGTTTTAGAATAAATTACATGATCAAGTCACTAATTATATTAATCAGGAGATATATTGGCCATAAGTTTTTTCTGGAACAAGTTATGATATAAGTGTCTTTTGAAAAGAATTTTAATCTGAACTGTTCTTTGTTGATTCTGATGTCCTCAGAAAAAATTTCACATAATAACATATCTTATGTAACTGCTTACACGATACCATTTGCTAATATTATAAGCCCTAACAGTGTATAAACATGAAATCAGTTCTCTTATTTAAGGGGATACTCATTACATTATCCCTAAAATATCAAATGTTAGCTAGTATTTCATTTCCCAAGCTCTTTCTTTTGAGTACCAAGGCAATCAAGACAGCATTTTCAAATTTTTGACTCAAACACTCTTTTCACAGTTCCATATAATAACCAGAAACCTGCTAGGAATTTACAAAATCATTTAATTTTTTTCATATTACCTATGTAAACAATGGAATAAATAATTTTTTAAATATTTTATAACAGTTTTAAGTTTTATAAATTTTATCATTATGTAAAATTAAAAATTTAGAATATACATACAGTTTAAAACTTGTTCTTATTTAACAATTGACATACTTTTCTAAAGCTAACTACACTAAAAGTGTGGTTGATCAGCAAATCTAAAACTGATTTCTATTTTGGCTGGGGACCAAATGTTGAGTAATGTGTAAACATCAAAAAGATCCAGAAGCTAGTTTCGTGACCTGATCATGACCAATAACATCAAATTCTTTCATTTTGTTACTGAAAACTTCGATAGTCTTATTTTGATAATTTTTACATTTTGTTTATAAGCAATGAGAGAAGAAAAAAGATTCCAATTCATTGTTTACAAGCATTTCTCAGATAGTCTTTCTTCTCAATAAGGGAAAAGCCATCATTTTATTTTGAAAATAATCGTCATTATAGTTTCTCTTTTTTATATTGCTCTTATAAGCATTCAAGATCTAATACGACTGCTAGGTTTAATGAGAATAATCTGGAGGCACATTTACAGAACAACTATAGTTTTTAAGTTTCTCTTAACCTGCATCTCAGCTTCGTCATTTGTTTCACTTTTTGACTTTGGCCACCAGACCATTATAGATAGAAATGAAACTATCTAGGTATCAAAACAATTTAGCACTGAGGAGTAGCTGACACGACCACAGGAACCAGACACCCTCCTACCTCAGCCTGTGGGATTGAGTCCTGAGGTGGTTCCTCTGACTGGCACGCATCCCAGGGCATATTCATTTGACAAACGCTCAGCTGTTCCCCTGGGTTTCCAGTTCAAATGGAAGAGCAGGAGAGTCATGATGTTATCTGTTTATTATTTTTTATTTTTTAATTTAATTTATTTTTTTCTATTTTAAAAATAGATTTAATTTTTTAATTTAATTTTTTCTATTTTAAAAATAGAAGTGTAAGTAGATGCCATCACCACATTTATCAATGCCATCTTTTAGTCAGTAATTCCTTCGAAAGACACTCCTGGACCATGGAAACGAAAGAAACCTTCCTCCTTCCCACCCTGTACTTCCCTAACATATTACCCTGTTTGCTCATTATCATCGCACTTATCACTATCTGTGATTTTCTTGTTTCCTTTTAGACTTACTGTCTATCCCTCTTGACGCAGGGGTAATATTGAAGAAGTAGGGTTTCTTTAGTTAGTGCTGTATCTCTTAATCTTAGAACAGTAGTATGTGTTCAATAAATCAGTGAATGTGGACCCCTGAGCAACCAGCTGGGGAATGTTAATGTGCCTGGATATCATTTCCTCAACACTTTGTTCTTCACATAGCCCTCACCTTAGAACTTAATACAAACCCTATTGTTAATGTTTTAAAGAAGTAGACACTGGAAGGTTAGAATCATCCCATATATGATTCACTTGCCATATTCCTTTTCAGAAAGCACCAGGAGACTATTAATTATATTGTACTGTGAAATCACATCCCTCTATAGGTCAGAGTTGTATATAGGTCGAGTTTCTCCCATAGACCATGGGTGTCTATGTTTGTGCTAACACCTGAGGCCCCATTCCTTTTATTTATGACTAAAACCTTTAGCAACACCCTTGGGCTTCTGCTAAATTTCTTATGAGAAATTAAGATGTGGAAATCTACTCAATGACCAGGGCTTTCTTCATTTCTGAGAGTTAGGAGAAATGTGGCTCATTGTCAGCTGTCAGCACACTTCTACCATTTCTCTGACCTTTCCCTTTCAGGGACCTGAGAGCAGGAAGGAGAGGAGCGAAAGGGAATGCCTGAGGATGGAGATAAAATCTCGAAAGAAAGTGGAGGAAAGAAGGAACTCTAGGAAGGAAGAACACGGAAAAGCACACATGTCCACCTTGGTTGAAAGAGAATCCAAATAGTGTTTCCACATCATGTCTCCAGATGCCAGGTTTTGGTGGCACTTGTGAAGGAGTGTCCACAAATGCTGAGTGACTGCAGTGGTCCATCGGCGCAGGGCTCCCCAAGATGACTTGCACCTGACTCCCACTGCTTCTGATATCTTAGTTGAGAGTGTGATCTGCTATGTGGTCCTTTTATGGGAATAAAGAAAATAAAATGTATTTTAATAGAAGAAGTGATTCTTAAAAATGTAAAGAAAGATATTTAAAGAGCCACCAACGCATCTTCACTAACTCTTCTTCTGCATCAACCTTGCAAATAAGTTTAAATAAAAGTCATTGATGTGACTCTAAGTTTACTTCTTTATCAGAATTATGTAAGTGTGTCTAACGGCCGTCATCTAAGGGGAACTGGTAATTAACGTGCCAAACACTATGCTGAGTTCTTACCTAAAATAATCCTCACTACTCTGAGGTGGGACCTATTATCTTCACTTGCTAGCTGAGAAATTTAGACCATCTGGAAATTCACTGATGAGGTGGCAGAGTTAGGGCCAGAGCCCGGTTCATTCCAACTCATGCCTCTAACCTGAGGCTGGAACTTCATTTCCCTTTAGCCCTGGCTCCTAACTTGGGGTGTGTGTGTGTGTGTGTGTGTGTGTGTGTGTGAGAGAGAGAGAAAGAGAGAGAGAGAGATGTGCATGGAATGAGTGGATGTGAATGAGAAAAGCAGGAGCTGGGAGTAGCTTATGATTTTGATTATGTGGGTGGAGACTGATTCTCTGAGGTCAGCTTTATGCTCTGGGTTTTAACTTTATGAAACCATATTCTTATTTCTTATTTTAAATTTTATATTGAGACATAACTGACATATAACACTATATTAGTTTCAGGTGTACAACGTAATGATTTGATATTTTTAATATATCATGAAATTATCACCACAATAAGTCTAGTTAACATCCATTATCATACAATTACAAATTTTTTCTTATGATCAGAACTTTTAAGATATACTCTTTTAGTAACCTGCAAATATACAACACATTATTACTAGCTATAGTTACCAAGCTTACCTTATATCCTATGACTTATTTAAAAAGATGGAGTGCTTCCTGAATTTACGTGTCATCCTTGTGTAGAGACCATGCTAATTTCTGTATCATTCCAATTTTAGTATATGTGTTGCTGAGGTGAGTACTTTTTTACCCCAATTTTCAGCTTTATTGAGATATAATTGACAAAATTGTGTTTTAAATTGTACAAACATGATGATTTGACACATTATGCTTTGTGAAATGATTACCACAATCAGGTTAATTAACACATCGAGGCCATATGCTATCACTATTTTTCTTTCCTAGAAGAAAAGATACTAGAACTCTCCCTACTTATTCTTTTTTTTTTTTTATATTGGAGTATAACTGACATTTAACATCCTATTAGTTTCAGGTGTACAACATAATGATTTGATTTTTGTATACTTTGTGAAATGATCACCATAGTAAGTCTCATTAACATCCAACATCACACATAGTTACAATGTTTTGTTTTTTGATGAGAACATTTTTTTTCTTTAAAAAAAACCTGGGTGGCTCACTCAGTTAAGCATCTCAGGTCATAATCCCAGGTTCCTTGGATGGAGTCCCACATCTTGTGGGACTCCACTTGTACTCTCTCTCTCTCTCTCAAATAAATAAAATAAAATAAAAACAAAAGAAGTGTCTGTTAGCCATTTGTATGTCTTCCTTGGAGAAATGTCTGTTCATGTCTTCTGCCCATTTTTTGATGTGATTATCTGTTTTTTAAGTGTTGAGTTTGAGGAGTTCTTTATAGATCTTGGATATCAGCCCTTCATCTGTAGTGTCATTTGTGAATATCTTCTCCCATTCTGTGGGTGCCTCTTTGTTTTGTTGACTATTTCCTTTGCTGTGCAGAAGCTTTTGATCTTGATGAAGTCCCAAAAGTTCATTTTTGCTTTTGTTTCCTTTGCCTTTGGAGACATGTCTTGAAAGAAGTTGCTGTGACCAATGTCGAAGAGGTTACTGCCTATGTTCTCCTCTAGGATTTTGATAGATTCCTGCCTCATGTTGAAGTCTTTTTTTTTTTTTAAAGATTTTATTTATTTACTTGACAGACAGAGATCACAATTAGGCAGAGAGGCAGGCAGACAGAGAGAGGAGGAAGCAGGCTCCCCGTGGAACAGACAGCCCAATGCGGGGCTCGATCCGAGGACCCTGGGATCATGACCCGAGCTAAAGGCAGAGGCTTTAACCCACTGAGCCACCCAGGCGCTCCCTCATGTTGAAGTATTTTATCCATTTTGAGTTTATCTTTGTGTATGGTGTAAGAGAATGGTCGAGTTTCATTCTTCTACACATAGCTATCCAGTTTTCCCAGCACCATTTATTGAAGAGACTGTCTTTTTTCCACTGTATATTTTTCCTGCTTTGTTGAAGATTATTTGATCATACAGTTGCAGGTCCATATCTGGACTCTCTACTCTGTTTCACTGGTCTATGTGTCTGTTTTTATGCCAGTACCATGCTGTCTTGGTGATCACATCTTTGTAGTAAAGCTTGAAACCAGACAACGTGATGTCCCCATTTTGTTTTTCTTTTTCAACATTTCCTTAACAATTCAGGGTCTCTTCTGGTTCCATACAAATTTTAGGATTGTTTGTTCGAGCATTCTGAAAAATGCTGGTGGAATTTTGATTGGGATGGCATTGAAAGTATTGATTTCTCTGGGCAGTATAGACATTTTAACAATATTTATTCTTCTGATCCATGAGCATGGAATGCTTTTCCACCTTTTTGCGTCTTCTTCAATTTCTTTCATAAGTGTTCTGTAGTTCCTTGAGTACAGATCCTTTACCTCTTTGGTTAGGTTTATTCCCAGGTATCTTATGGTTCTTGGTGTTATAGTAAATGGAATTGATTCTCTAACTTCCCTTTCTATATTTTCATTGTTAGTGTATAAGAAAGCAACTGATTTCTGTACATTGATTTTGTATCCTGCCACATTACTGAATTGCTGTATGAGTTCTAGTAGTTTGGGGGTAGAGTCTTTTGGGTTTTCCGTATAAAGTATCATGTCATCTGCAAAGAGAGAGAGAGTTTGCATAATCATTAGCTATCAGGGAGATTCAAATCAAAACCACATTAAGATACCAACTTACACCAGTTAGAATGGCCAAAATTAACAAGATAGTAAACAACAAGTGTTAGAGAGGATGTGGAGAAAGGGTAACCCTCTTACACTGTTGGTGGAAATGCAAGTTGGTGCAGCCACTTTGGAAAACAGTATGGAGATTCCTTAAGAAATTCAAAATAGAGCTACCCTATGACCCTGCAATTGCACTATGCGGTATTTACCCCAAAGATACAGTTGTAGTGAAAAGAAGGGCCATCTGTACCCCAATGTTCATAGCAGCAATGGCCACAGTTGCCTAACTGTGGAAAGAGCCAAGATACCTTTCAACAGATGAATGTATAAAGAAGATATGATCCATACATACGATGGAGTATTATGCCTCCATCAGAAAGGATGAATATCCAACTTTTGTATCAACATGGACGGGACCAAAGGAGGATTAAAACAATGAATCTTGGAACACTGAAAAAATAAAATAAAATAAAATAAAATAAAATAAAAACAAAAGAAAAAACCCCAACACAACCTCCCATTTTGGTATCATTGATATCCCCAAACTGCACAGATTTAATGTACAGAATTTCATGAGTTTGGACATATGTGTACACCCATGGAACTATTACCACCAATCATCAATTCCTCTTCTTTACTCCTCAACAATGCTCTGAAGCATGGCATTTCTTAACTACTTCCACAATTCATACAAGTCCTTCCTTCTTAGTATGGATCCTTTAAATAAAAATTTTTTTAAAGTAGGCTCTATGCCCAGCATGAAGCCCAATGTAGGGCTTGAACTCATGACCCGAGATCAAGACCTGGGCTCAAGACCCAAGCTGAGATCAAGAGTTGGGCACTTAACTGACTGATCCACCCATGTACCCCAGTATGGATCCTTTTTTGAAATTACTTAAGGCAAAATTAGTATGTTTGAGAAAGTTTTCCTTGCAGACATATATGATGAGAACTTTTAAGACCTATTCTTTTAGCAACTTTCAAATATGAAACAATGTTATTGACTATAGTCACCATGCTGTACATGACATTCATATGACTTATTGAATGACTGGGAGTTTGTACCTCTTGACCCCCTTCACTCATTTTACTCACTCCTTTATCTCCCCTCCTTTCAGGCAACAACCGATCTATTCCCTGTATCTATGAGTTTTGTTTCATTTGTTCATTTGTTTTGTTTTTTGGATTTCACATGTAAGTGAAATCATACAGTATTTGTCTTTCTCTGCTTCACTTACTATTCACTTAACATAATGCCCTCAATTTCTATTCATATTGTTGCAGATGGCAAGATTTCCATTTTTTTGTGCCTGAATAACATTCCATTGTATATATACACCTTCTCAGATTTCAGTCTATGGCAATTTCCAGTCTGTGGGATAAGGTAGATAGAGGCAGTCTACCTTCTACAGAAAATGTTTTCATGAAAGTCACCCATGATCTCCTTACTGTCAAATGCTATGAAAATACCCCTCTGATTATTTACCTTTTATAGGGCTTAAAAGTGGCAGCATCTGACACCGCTGTCTACTCTGTCCCTTTTGAAATTTTTTCTTTGGTTCTTGTGGCCTATACTCTTTCGGGTTTCCTGGGACCTCTGATCAATCTTGGTTGGTTTTTGGTGAGGGATCCTTATCCTTGGAATGCTGGTTTTCCTCTGTGCTCTGCCTGGGCACTTCTCTCACTCCTTATTCCCTCTGGGGAATTTCAAGCATTCCCCTGGCAACAGCTGTGTACAAGTGGAAGGTCCCCCAATCTATCCTGTGGGGCAGACCTCTCCCCAGACTACCACACTCATATATACAACTGGCTCTTGGACACAGAAGTAGCTGCAAGTTTCACAGGCATCTCCAACTCATCTTTTAAAAGCAAACAACAATTTCTTGCACGGTCTGCCCCTGTTCTGCCTCTCCTCCATGTTCCCTATCTCAGTGAATGATGGCATCATTTACCAGTTGTCATGTGAGAACCTGGTTGGGTCTGAAGTCATCTCCCACTCGTCTTCTTCTCCATCCAGATAATCATCAACTTGTCCCTATTTCACCTCTAAATATCACTTGGATTTGCCCAATTCTCTTCATTCTCATTGCCACTACCCTATTTCAGGCTCTTTCTAACTCATCTTCATTCCAACAAAAATGATAATATTTTGGATATATTTGGTAAAATAAAATATATTA